TTTTACACTTCGGGAACTGGAGGCAACACTCTTCAGCTTGCCGATCATCGGCAGCTGGGCCTGACGACATTCATATTCGGATGTTACAACATTTACATCAGTCAGTCCTTAAAGTCCTCTTACACCTCTTCAATCTTATTTGGTCACAAGGAGTTCTTCCCAAGCTGTGGAAATCTGCCCTTGTTCTCCCTTTCCACAATCCTGGTACTACGGGACATGCCTCCCACTATCGTCCCATTGCTCTTACTAATGCAGTTTGCAAAGTGATGGAACGTCTGGTAAATCGACGTTTAATGTGGTATTTAGAGACACAACAGTCTCTCCACTAGTCAATATGGCTTTCGTAAGGGCCGATCTACCATAGACCCCTTTCTAAGCTTGGATACATATGTTCGCAATGCCTTTGCGAATAACCACTCAGTTATTACCATATTTTTGACCTTGAGAAGGCATATGACACAACTTGGAGGTATAATATTTTGGCCCAAGCCCACTCCATAGGCCACTGATGCAATCTACCATCCTTCCTTAAGAACTTTTTAACTGACACATTTCTGTGTTCGAGTTAATAATGTGCTCTCCGCGGACTTTGTCCAAGCTGAAGGTGTCCCTCAGGAATGTGTTCTGAGCACAACACTTTTTCTCCTTGCTATGAATGATTTGGCCTCTGTTCTTCCATCCAATATTTGGTCATCACTATGTTGATGGCTTCACTATTGCTTGTGCAGGTGCTGACTGTCACCTCATTACAGTTTCTCTCCAACATGCAGTCGACCGTGTTTAATTGGGCCACCATGCATGGGTTTAAATTTTCCAGCACCAAAACTCGCCAAATTACTTTCACTAGACGGTCTGTCATCTCCGATCATCCTTTGTACCTCTGTGGCTCCCAAATCCCTGAACGTGATACAGTCAGATTTCTAGATCTTCTCTTTGACCATAGATTATCCTGGAAACCTCACATTACTTCTATGAAGGCAACTTGTCACAGCCAGCTGAACCTTCTTAAAACCCTTGCTCATCTTTCATGGGGAGCTGATCGTCGAACTCTGCTTCGCCTACATTCAGCCCTCATTTTATCGAAACTCGATTATGGTGACCAGATCTATTCAGCGGCCTCTCCTGCTACTCTAGCCTTAACCCCATCCATCACCAAGGATTGTTTATGCCTTGGTGCTTTTTGCTCTTCCCCTGTTGAGAGCCACTATGCAGAAGCGAATGTTCCATCTTTGTCTGATTGCCGTGATGACCATTGCCTTTGCTACTGTGTACGCTCTCACGATCTCTGCAATCCTTCCATTTATAGAATGGTCACTGATATTAGTAGACATTATTTGTTCGACGCCCCTGTTTGCTCTGTCCCTTCTCTCTTCGCCTACATTTGCTCCTGTCTTCCCTTCAGTTACCACCTTTATATGTTCATGTAGCATCTCGCTTTTCCCTACCCCCCTGGGAAGTTCCAGCTGTTCGGGTCTGTTCTTTCTCACTCCCTTGCTCGAAAGCCCAACTGCCTATGGTGGCTTCCCGCTCTTTTTCTTGACCACTTCCACTCTCATTATCATGCCATCGCAGTGTACACAGATGGCTCTACGTCTTCTGACGGCGTTTGATTCACAGCAGTGTTTCCAGACAGCGTCGTGCGAGGGCATTTGCTATCTTCGGCTAACATTTTTACTGCTGAATTGTATGCCATTCTTGCAGCACTTATTTGTATTGCATCTATGCCTGTGTCATCATTTGTGGTTGTCTCAGACTCCCTTAGTGCTCTACAGGCTATACGGAAATTTGATACACCTCACCCCCTAGTTCTCCGTATCCTACTTCGGCTATGCCGTTTCTCTACCAAGCATAAAGATATTGTTTTTTGTTGGGTCCCTGGTCATGTTGACGTACAGGGCAATAAACAGGCAGACACTGCTGCGCGGTCAGCAGTACATGACCTACCAATTTCATATAGAGGTGTTCCTTTTCCGGATTATTTTGCTGCTATAGCTACCCACCTTCACACCCGTTGGCAACAACATTGGTCAACTCTACTCAGTAACAAACTTCATTCTATTAAACCGAGCATAGGTTACTGACCGTCTTCTTGTCATCAGTGCCGAGGTTGGGAAAGTACTCTCTCCTGCATTCGCATTGGCCACACTCGTCTTACTCATGGGTATCTCATGGAGAGGCACCCTGTTCCTCTCTGTGAGAAGTGTCAAGTTCCAATATTGATTAGCCACATTCTGTTAGCCTTCCCCCTCTATCAACGAGCACGCAGAATTTACCTGCAACATCGTCTCCGCTCTACTACTCTCTCTTTACCTTCAATTCATGCTGAGGACCCTCCTTTAATCCTGACTCTCTCATTGACTTCTTGACAACGACTGATTTACTCCACAAACTCTGATGATGATACCTTTTGCACTCCCCTCAGCCCTTTCTACCTCAATCTCTTGCTGCCCTCTACCCTTTCACTATCCACTGCCCCGCTGTTCTCCGTAACCTACTACTCATCCATCTACCTTTTGCCACCTGATACCCTCGCTTCCTTCCTGCATTGCAGTGCTGTATAGCCCTTGTAGTTTAGTGCTTGTTTTTGATAATAATAATAATAATATAGCATAGTAGGAGAAGATATGAGAGAGGCAGGGAAAGAATATGCTTCGTCAACGTTCTGGTCACTATACTCAGTGTAATATCTAAAATTCTTGAGAGGGCTGTATACTGTCAGGTTGTTAAGTATCTTAACGACAGCAACATTCATCACAGTTACCAATCAGGCTTTAGATCTTACTCAGCCGACACCTCCCTAATTAATCTGATGGATTACATCAGAACTGAAATGTCGATAGGGAACCTCATAGGTATGGCAACTTTAGACTTGCCAAAGGCCTTCGAGACTGTCAACCACAATATACTATGTAAGAAACTTCAAGCTATCGGCATAGGTTCCATAGACTGGTTTAAGTCCTATCTTAGCAAAAGGAAACAAATTTTGTCAAAATCAGCAAAATAGAATCAGAACCCCTGCCGACAGCATATGCAGTTCCCCAAGGTAGTATTCTGGGTCCCTTATTATTTCTATGTTATGTAAACAACATGCCTATCAGTGTCAAGTGCAAACTCCTACTGTATGCAGATGACAGTGCTCTGTTAGTGTCAGGTAAAGACCCACAAGATATTGCTAACGTATTAACACTGGAACTGGAGTCCTGCAGCAAATGGTTAGTAGACAACAAACTATACTAACAACTCGGGAAAACTGAAGCCATTCTCTTTGGCACGAAACATAAGCTAAGAAGGGTAAATAATTTTAATGTCCAGTGTAATGGTGAGCCCATCACTTCAGTTTCCTCAGTAAAATATCTGAGAATCCCCTTTGATCCATTTATGTCAGGAGAATTGATTGGGAACAGTAAAGTAAAGACAGCGAATGCCAGACTGAAGTTCCTCTATAGAGAAGCACAGTGTCTACCTACTGAGGCTCGCAGGACCCTATGTCTAGACCTTATACAATGTCATATGGACTAGGCTTGCTCTTCATGGTACTCTGCCTTGTCAAAAAAAAAAAAAGATTGCCTGCAAATCACCCAGAACAAAATCGTAAGATTCATCCTGGGGCTGGGACCAAGAGAACATGTAGGCCAGGATGAATTACAGCAGTTGGATATGCTGAATGTTGAAGACAGAGTAAAACAACTGAAGCTAAATCATTTTTATAAAATTGTTCACAAACAGTGTCCAGAATATCTTGTTGCTAATTTTGTCAAGGTTGGGAACCAAAGCAATCATAGTACTAGGGGGAGAGAGCACAACTTTGTAGTAGCCACAGTCAGTGGCCAGGCTTCAAACACCTTTTATTGTATAGCAATAAAGAAATAGAACAGATTGACTGTACATATTAAGCCAGTCATAGCATGAACCATTTCAAGAAGAGGAGAGCCGAAAAGGTACCTAATGAATGTAGCGACAGAAACGGAGGAGAATGATTTTTTATTTTATTTTTTATAGCTAGCACACATGTAAATATAAATAACTCGTTTTACCTTATTCCTAATATATCTCCTTTATAGTATAATAATAATAATATATTATCTCCCTTATAGTATAATAATAAGGTATTAAAAGGACGCCAATGGAAATAAGTCACTTGGTCTGACTGTTGTGGGTTATACCAGGTTCTCTACACATATGCTGCTATGTATCTATGTATGTATCTATGTATCTATGTATCTATGTATCTATGTATTTGTGTATACCTGAATAAAGTTAATTATTATCTGGAAAGCTCTTCGAGTTGTCTTCACAATAGTGTAGTCAGACAGAAGCAACTCATCAACTAAATCAAACATACAATCGCCCAAGATAATTCCAACCCAACATTACCAGTAAGCCAGCGGAAGGCCTCGGTCAGATGATCATAAGCTCCAGCTGCGGGTCTGCAGTTTGGATTGCCAGGAAACACTTGTCGTGTTTTATGTCAATTCTTACCTAACCTAAGCTAGCCAGTGCTTGAGATTCATCAGTACTGCGGAACTGAACACCTGGTTCTAGGCTGAGGGACTGATTACCTAATCTACCTTCTTCAGTCTTCTGTATTGTATTGATAAAGTCACTTACTGGAAAAACGGCTACATAGTAAAGACAGTCAGATGTTGCACAAGTGTCTAATTCATCATCGAAAAATTTAATGTTATTTTTTAATATATAAGCTTATACCAGTGACTGAAATTAATTGTTTATCTTGTGTGTTTCTTGTGTGCCGCCCTGCTTGTCTTCCTGCCCTGCTACCCACCTGTCTGCCCTGCTACCCACCTGTCTGCCCTGCTACCCACCTGTCTGCGATGTCTGTCTCCTGCCTGCCCTGCTACCCACCTGTCTGCGGTGTCTGTCTCCTGCCTGTCTGCCTGCCTTCCTAACTGTCTGCGGTGCCTATCTCCTGCCTGCCTGCCTGCCCTGCTACCCACCTGTCTGCCTGCCCTACTATGGGTACGTGTGGTGCGAGTGCACAGGCTTGCCCAGACGGTGAAGCTGCTGATGGCCATAGCTCTGTACATGACGTACCCACTACAGATGTACGTACCAGTGGAGATGCTGCTGCCAGCAGTCACCAGACACTTCCATACTAAGTGTACCAAGATAATAGCCGAATATGTCTTCAGGACCGCCATGGTCCTGCTTACCTGTGAGTTAACTTTATTGTATGGAGAGAGAGAGAGAGAGAGAGAGAGAGAGAGAGAGAGAGAGAAAAGGAGAGAGAGAAGAGAGAGAGAGAGAGAGAGAGAGAGAGAGAGAGTGGAGAGGAGAGGGAGAGGGAGAGGGAGAGTGGAAGGGGGGAGAGAGAGAGAGAGGAGAGAAGAGAGGAAAAGAGAGAAGAGAGAGAGAGAGAGTTTTATCATAATTTTCCTTGACATTTAATACATTATTTTTTGCAGTGTTTTTAATCGAATCATGTGTGTAGAGACCTAAGATTACCCGTTACTGTGAGCGTAACTACAGTACTGTAGTTTCATGTAAGGGTAAATACTGTAGTTAAATGTAACTACAGTAGTTACCCTCACATACATTTAACTACAGTAGTTACCCTTACATACATTTAACTACAGTAGTTACCCTTACATACATGTATATGAGGGTAACTGCTGTAGTTTACCTGGGGTTTACCTGGAGAGAGTTCCGGGGGTCAACGCTCCCGCGGCCCGGTCTGTGACCAGGCCTCATGGTGGATCAGAACCTGATCAACCAGGCTGTTACTGCTGGCTGCACGCAACCCAACGTACGAGCCAAGGCCCGGCTGGTCAGGTACCGACTTTAGGTGCTTGTCCAATGCCTGCTTGACGACAGCCGGGATCTGTTGGTAATCCCCCTTATGTATGCTGGGAGGCAGTTGAGCAGTCTTGGGCCCCTGACACTTATTGTATTGTCTGTTAACGTGCTAGTGACACCCCTGCTTTTCATTGGGGGGATGGTGCATCGTCTGCCGAGTCTTTTGCTTTTATAGTGAGTGATTTTCGTGTGCAAGTTCGGTACTAGTCCCTCTAGGATTTTCCAGGTGTACGATTTCTGCCATTTCCTGCCAGTTTTTTTTTCCTTCCTGGCACTAAAAAACCTCTCCCTCTTGAGTGGCTGTGGCTACCCAGGTTTTCCCATGGCCTGGATGTTTTGTATCTTTTTGTCCCCTTTATATGGTATGCCTGGCAATTTAAGTTATAGCACAGTCTTTCCTGTACTGAAGAGGTACACAGTTCAGGGTGAAAAAGCTTACAGGAAGGGAGTTTGCATTTTCCTGTTGTCATATGGGCATGGCATTTTCTAGGGTGGTCATAGTTGCACGTCCCATCTGTTTTTCCAGATTTCCCATGTCTGCAGATACCAAGTGCACAGTATGTGCACAGGCTTGGTTTCCGTTGCCTTGGGTTTCTGTGACTGTTATTCCCTGTTGGTGCATGTTTCCCTGTCTTATTCCTATCCTCCCTAGCACCAACAATGGAGCTCCCCCCCAGTTGTTTTTGGGAATATATCCTCACTATGCTAGTGGAGTCCTCTTGTTTTCTATTCCTGCGGTATTTCTAGTTTTCAATATTGGTTTTATCTTATCTTTGACTACACTTGTTTCCCTACTATGGCTCCTGTCCCCTATGAGGTCATTTATATGTATTCCCTTTCCCTGCGTATAATTCCCGACTACCTGGAAAAAAATCTCCAGCTTCACCATTACTGTCTCCCAGGACAGCATCTCCAGTTTCACCATTACTGTCTCCCAGGACAGCACCTCCAGCTTCACCATTACTGTCTCCCAGGACAGCACCTCCAGCTTCACCATTACTGTCTCCCAGGACAGCACCTCCAGCTTCACCTTACTGTCTCCCAGGACAGCACCTCCAGCTTCACCATTACTGTCTCCCAGGACAGCACTATCAGCCCCACATTTACTGTCTCCCAGGACAGCACCTCCAGCTTCACCATTACTGACTCCCAGGACAGCACTATCAGCCCCACATTTACTGTCTCCCAGGACAGCACCTCCAGCTTCACCATTACTGTCTCCCAGGACAGCACTATCAGCCCCACATTTACTGTCTCCCAGGACAGCACCTCCAGCTTCACCATTACTGACTCCCAGGACAGCAATATCAGCCCCACATTTTACTGTCCCCCAGGACAGCACCTCCAGCTTCACCATTACTGTCTCCCACCACAGCACTATCAGCCCCACATTTACTGTCTCCCAGGACAGCACCCCCAAAGCTTCACATTACTGACTCCCAGGACAGCACTATCAGCCCCACATTTACTGTCTCCCAGGACAGCACCTCCAGCTTCACCATTACTGTCTCCCACCACAGCACTATCAGCCCCACATTTACTGTCTCCCAGGACAGCACCTCCAGCTTCACCATTACTGACTCCCAGGACAGCACTATCAGCCCCACATTTACTGTCTCCCAGGACAGCACCTCCAGCTTCACCATTACTGTCTCCCACCACAGCACTATCAGCCCCACATTTACTGTCTCCCAGGACAGCACCTCCAGCTTCACCATTACTGACTCCCAGGACAGCACTATCAGCCCACATTTACTGTCTCCAGGACAGCACCTCCAGCTTCACCATTACTGACTCCCAGGACAGCACTATCAGCCCCACATTTACTGTCTCCCAGGACAGCACCTCCAGCTTCACCATTACTGACTCCCAGGACAGCACTATCAGCCCCACATTTACTGTCTCCCAGGACAGCACCTCCAGCTTCACCATTACGGGTCCCCCAGCACAGCACTTAGCCCCACTTTTTACTGTCTCCCAGGACAGCACCTCCAGCTTCACCATTACTGACTCCCAGGACAGCACTATCAGCCCCACATTTACTGTCTCCCAGGACAGCACCTCCAGCTTCACCATTACTGACTCCCAGGACAGCACTATCAGCCCCACATTTACTGTCTCCCAGGACAGCACCTCCAGCTTCACCATTACTGACTCCCAGGACAGCACTATCAGCCCCACATTTACTGTCTCCCAGGACAGCACCTCCAGCTTCACAATTACTGACTCCCAGGACAGCACTATCAGCCCCACATTTACTGTCTCCCAGGACAGCACCTCCAGCTTCACCATTACTGTCTCCCAGGACAGCACTATCAGCCCCACATTTACTGACTACAAGGACATCACCTCCAGCCTTACAGTTTCTGACTACATGGCCAGTATCAAGGGCAGTACCATTCAGCCCAGACTTTTTATGTTCCCATCTGTTGTAGAAAGCTTCCAGGTTGTCTATGAAAGCAGCTTTGATGTTGACCTCTTTTAATACCCTTGTGATTTTAGTCCACAGATTTTCCTCATTTGGGCATACCCTAAAACACTTCCCTGTTTTAATACTGCTTTAGCTTTCTTGGATATCTTCACAAGGGGCGTGACACCAATTTCCACAAAATGACAATTTATCCATGTGGAGGCCCGTTTGTTTGATTGACTGCAGACTATTACAGAGCTTCATAATGATTTGAATGGTTGATTTACTGTAATTTACTAGCAACCTCTTGAATACTCTATTAATAACCTCCTTAAAAGAAGCTTACCTGGATTTACCTGGAGAGGTTCCGGGGGGGCAAAGCACCCCCGGCCCGGCTGTGACCAGGCCTCCCGGTGGGTCAGAGCCCGTCAACCGGCTGTTGCGTGGCTGCAGCAAACCAACGACGGCCACAGCCCCGGGGGTCAGGAAAACCCACTTTTGGGCTTGTCCAGTGCCCGCTTAAGATGCCAGGGGATTTGGGAATCCCCCCTTTTGGTGCTGGGGGGCAATTGAACATTCGGGCCTCTGAACTTATTGTATGGTCTCTTAAAGTGCTAGTGACACCCCCGCTTTTATTGGGGGGAAGTTGCATCGTCCCGCCAAGTCTTTTGCTTTCGAGGAGTGATTTCGTGTGCAAATTCGTCTAGGACCCCTGGGTTTTCCAGGTGTACATAATCATGTATCTCTCCCGCCTGTGTTCCAGGGAATACAGGTTCAGGAACCTCAAGTGCTCCCAGTAATTGAGGTGTTTTATCTCCGTTATGCGCGCCGTGAAGGTTCTCTGTACATTTTCTAGGTCAGCAATTTCACCTGCCTTGAAAGGTGCTGTTAGTGTGCAGCAATATTCCAGCCTAGATGGAACAAGTGACCTGAAGAGTGTCATCATGGGCTTGGCCTCCCTAGTTTTGAAGGTTCTCATTATCCATTATCATGCAGATTCGGGTGTCATCTGCAAAGGAAGACACGGTGCTGTGGCTGACATCCTTGTCTATGTCGGATATGAGGATGAGGAACAAGATGGGAGCGAGTACTGTGCCTTGTGGAACAGAGCTTTTCACCGTAGCTGCCTCGGACTTTACTCTGTTGACGACTACTCTCTGTGTTCTGTTAGTGAGGAAATTATAGATCCATCGACCGACTTTTCCTGTTATTCCTTTAGCACGCATTTTGTGCGCTATTACGCCATGGTCACACTTGTCGAAGGCTTTTGCAAAGTCGTATATATTACATCTGCATTCTTTTGTCTTCTAGTGCATTTAGGCCCCTTGTCGTAGTGATCCAATAGTTGAGACAGACAGGAGCGACCTGTTCTAAATCCATGTTCCCCTGGGTAGTGAAACTGATGGGTTTCTAGATGGGTGGTGATATTGCTTCTTGGGGACCCTTTCAAAGATTTTTATGATATGGGTTTGTTGTGCTATCGGTCTGTAGTTCTTTGCTGTTGCTTTACTGCCCACTTTGTGGAGTGGGGCTATGTCTGTTGTTTTTAGTAACTGTGGGACGACCCCCGTGTCCATGCTCCCTCTCCATAGGATGGAAAAGGCTCGTGATAGGGGCTTCTTGCAGTTCTAGATGAACACGGAGTTCCATGAGTCTGGCCCTGGGACAGAGTGCATGGGCATGTCATTTATCGCTTGTTCGAAGTCATTTGGCGTCAGGATAACATCGGATAGGCTTGTGTTAACCAAATTTTGTGGCTCTCATAAAAAATTCATTTTGATCTTCGACTCTCAATCTGGTTAGCGGCTTGCTAAAAACTGAGTCATATTGAGACTTGAATAGCTCACTCATTTCCTTGCTGTCATCTGTGTAGGGAAACCCCTCTTGTTTAAGTGGGGCCCAATACTGGATGTTGTTCTCGACTTTGATTTGGCATAGGAGAAGAAATACTTTGGGTTTCTTCGATTTCATTTATGGCTTTTAGTTCTTCCCGCGATTCCTGATTTCCTATAAGATTCCTTTAGCTTGAGTTCGATGCTTGCTATTTCTCTGACCAGTGTCTCCCTACGCATTTCAGATATATTGACCTCTTTTAGCCGCTCTGTTATTCTTTTCCGTCGCCTGTAAAGGGAGCGCCTGTCTCTTTCTTTTTTTACACTACTCCTCCTTTTTCTTAGAGGAATAACCCTTGTGCATACATCGAGTGCCACCAATTTAAATTTCTGTTCTAGGCATACTTTTGGGTCCTGTGTTGCTTAGTATATCTTCCCAGCTTTTATATCGGTTGGGACTTGGTTTACTTGGTCCCACTTTGTTTTTGTTATTGAAGTTAAATTTTTGGTGAATGCTCCCTCGTGACTAGTCTCATAATGTCGGTCTGGGGCTCCACGCATACATGTGTGAACCTCAATTTGTTGTGATCTGAGTTATTGTTTTGATATGGTGACATTTTCTTATCAGATCATCATTTTTAGTGAAGAGAGGTCTAGTGTATTCTCCAGTTTAGTAGGCTCTATTATTTGCTGGTTTAAATTTGAATTTTGTACAGAGATTTAAAAGCTCGTGTGAGTGTGAGTTTTCATCAGAGCGGCCTCCTGGTGTTGTTACTGCAACAATATTTTTTTGCTATATTCCTCCATTTTAGGTGCCTTAAGTTGAAATCCCCCAGGAGCAAGATGTTGGGTGCAGGAGCTGGAAGTTTTCCAACAGGGGTAATTTTTAACAGCTGTTCCTGAAATTGGGGGATGTTGCACCAGGCTTGTGACTAAAAAATGAAGTTTTGGTTCTCACCTTTACTGCAAAAACTTCCCACTACATCATTGGGGCATTTAGCAGTTCTGTGCAAACAAGTGACTCTAAATGTACTAGCTATTTGTATTTCTTTTCAACGTACTTGTATTTTGGACCTTCCGTGTCTTCCTGATTTATATTTTTTTTGTGTTTCAAAAGGGGGCGCCTACAACCCCATCCGTTTAAGTCTGCTTTATTGTCCATGAAAACGTTTAAAACCCCAGTAAAGGGTTGGGCCCCTAAAGGGGTGGGCCCATCGGGGGTTGGGAAACCAGTCGATCTGATCTGATCAGTTGTAACTGCTGTAGTTAAATTTACGTAAAGGTAACCACTCTACTAGTTCATTCATATGAAGAAAAACGTATAAAAATAATATAAGGGGAAACTACAGTAACATAGTAATAAAAGGGGAAAATACTATATACAATATAAAGGGGAAACCCTACTGTGAATATTAATATGAAGGGAAACCTGCTGTGGGACCCCTTTAATTTAAAAGGGGAAATACTGTAGACTATTAATAGGGGGGTAACTACTGTGACAAAAATAATATAAGGGTAACTACGTAGACACTTTTCAATTTCAGCATATCATTTTATCATTAAAACCTTTGCAAATGTCTTCAAAACTCATTTATACTCTCTTCCTCTCTTTGTCTCTCTCCCCCCCCCTCCCCCCCTCTCTCTCTCTGTATTCCTCCTCTCTCTCTCTTCTTCTCTCTCTCTCCTCTCTCTCCTCTCTCTCTCCCCCCCTCTTTCTCCTCTCTCCTCTCTCTCTCTCCCCTCTCTCCTCTCTCACCCGTCATCGTGTTTGCTGCCTCTGTCCCCAACATCGGATTGTTTATCTCGCTGTTCGGAGCTGTGAGCAGCTCAGCACTGTCACTCATCTTCCCTCCCATCATTGAAATCGTCACCTTCTGGCCTGACACAGGAAGATGCCACTGGGTCCTCATCAAGGTGAGGATTAGGTCCCGCTGGGTCCTCATAAAGGTGAGAATTAGGTCCTGCTCTGTCTTTGTTACGAACACAGAGAAAAAGAACAGGTTTGTCTTGTCTAAAGAATATCAGTCATTGGAATCACTTATTAAGGTAAAGGAATCATACCACGGGCGGGATTTGAACCCGCGGTCAGAGAGTCTCAAAACTCCAGACCGTCGTGTTAGCCACTGGACCAGCTAGCCACAATAAGATTCGTCCAACTAAGTATATTTCTACACCATAGGAAGGTTAGCATAGGCACCACTGTGACCACAAATGCAACGCGACGGTCTGGAGTTTTGAGACTCTCTGACCGCGGGTTCAAATCCCGCCCGTAGTATGATTTGTTTGCAATCGTGTCATTACGATTTCGTGAGTCAAGGTAAAGGAATCTCTATAGTTCTTGCTGGTTTAATTAACTTCCTTAATAATCACATAATGTTTCCATTATTTCTTCAATAGTTCAAACGTTAAAACAAGACTTCTCATACAGTAACAACTATAAGTAGAAACAATTATCATTAGTAATGATAATCAAGGCAACTCGTTACATAATTACAAGTGGCATCAGTCCCGTAGATTCTTTTCTAAACTCAATCACAGTGAGTCAAAATGTAAACAAAGGCGTTTTACATGTAACTGAGTTCTTCTCAGAGACTTTTAGAATTATTCCCTTTCTCAATCAGTCAACTAACAGCTTAACACTTAAATCCATTCATTATTTCCATAATTTTTAGGAGCTTCTTAAGCACTTTCTCAGTCCAAGATCTGCCCGACAAAATGGCTTCTATAATTCCTGGGTAGCCTCCGTGAATGCTAGTGAAGCTCCCCATCAGACCCTCGACCAGAGGAAGGTGTGAACTGCTCTAGGTAAAACTTTACCGCCAGACCTGAGCTCGGACTGAGCTGGGGTTGAGTGACTCAGTGTTCCCTGGTGCTTATCATGGCTGCATCAGTAGTTTAGAATAATGAAACATTCGATGTACAAAGCTAATTAATTTGTGTCCATATAATATTATAAATCCGAGTAACTTTATTTCAGCTATTAATGAGGATACAATATTGGTACCAAGTGCATTGGTACCACTGGTCCATAGTGTTCACAGCCCCTTCTAGAGTGCTTAGAGCCACCTCCAGAGCATTAAGAGCCCCTTGCAGAGCTAACAGCCGCCTTCATAATGCTATTAGCCGCCTCCACAGCGCTATTAGACCCCAATAAAGGGCTAGCAGTTCAAGAATGCTAGCAGTTTATTTCGGTGTTGACAGACTGAACTGGGATGTAATGTCACACAGTTTACCTTGAATGTATTATTTAATAATGTTACTAACTTTATTTTTTATATTTAGTGATAAAAAGCACTAACACCTGGCACTGTCCATCACTGGCAGTAACACCTGGTACTGTCCATCACTGGCACTAACACCTGGTACTGTCCATCACTGGCACTAACACCTGGTACTGTCCATCACTGGCACTAACACCTGGTACTGTCCATCACTGGCACTAACACCTGGTACTGTCAATCACTGGCACTAACACCTGGTATGTCCATCACTGGCACTAAACCTGGCACTGTCCATCATGGCAGTAACACCTGGTACTGTCCATCACTGGCACTAACACCTGGTACTTCCATCACTGGGACTAACACCTGGTACTGTCCATCACTGGCCCCTAGCACCTGGTACTGTCCATCACTGGCACTAACACCTGGGACTGTCCATCACTGGCACTAACACCTGGTACTGTCCATCACTGGCACTAACACCTGGTACTGTCCATCACTACACTAACACCTGGTACTGTCCATCACTAGCACTAACACCTGGTACTGTCCATCACTGGGACTAACACCCGGTACTGTCCATCACTGGCACTTACACTGGTACTGTCCATCACTGGCACTAACACCTGGTACTGTCCATCACTGGCACTAACACCTGGTACTGTCATCACTGCACTAACACCTGGTACTGTCCATCACTGGCACTAACACCTGGTGACTGTCCATCACTGGCACTAACACCTGGTACTGTCCATCACTGGCACTAACACCTGTGCTGTCCGTCACTGACACTAACACCTGGTACTGTTCATCACTGGCACTAACACTGGTACTGTCCATCACTGGCACTAACACCTGGTACTGTCCATCATGGCAGTAACACCTGGTACTGTCCATCACTGTCACTAACACCTGGTACTGTCCATCACTGGCACTAACACTGGTACTGTCCATCACTGGCACTAACACCTGGTACTGTCCATCACTGGCACTAACACCTGGTACTGTCCATCATGTCACTAACACCTGGTACTGTCCATCACTGGCACTAACAAATGATACTGTCCATCACTGGCACTAACACCTGGTACTGTCCATCACTGGCACTACACCTGGTACTGTCCATCACTGGCACTAACACCTGGTACTGTCCATCACTGGCACTAACACCTGGTACTGTCCATCACTGGCACTAACACCTGGTACTGTCCATCACTGGCACTAACTACCTGGTACTGTCCTATCACTTGGCACTAACACCTGGTACTGTCCATCACTGGCACATAACACCTGGTACTGTCCATCACTGGAACTAACACCTGGTATGTCCATCACTGGCAGTAACACCTGGTACTGTCCATCACTGGCACTAACACTGGTACTTCCATCACTGGCACTAACCCCTGGTACTGTCACATCACTGTCACTAACACCTGAGTAATGTCCATCAATGGCACTAACACCTGGTTCTGGGGGGGCCATCAATGGCACTAACACCTGGTACTGCTCATCACTGGCACTTAACCATGGTACTGTCCATCACTGGCACTACACCTGGTGCTGTCCATCACTGGACACTTACACCTGGTACTGTCCATCACTGGCACTAACCACCTGGTGCTGTTCCAGTCACTGACACTTAAACAAAATGGTAATGTCCATCATACTGAGCACTAACCACCTGGTTCTGTCCATTCACTGGCATAACTCCTGGTACTGTCCATCACTGGCAGTAACACCTGGTACTGTCCTTTCACTGGCAACTAAACCTGGTACTGTCCATCACAACCAACAATCATGGCACTAACACCTGGTATGTCCATCACTGGCTCTAACACCTGGTACTGTCCATCACTGCACTAGACCTGGTTCTGTCCATGCAACTGGCACGAAACACCTGGTATGGTCCATCACTGGCACTAACACTGGTACTGTCACATCACTGGCACTTAACACCTGGTCTGTCCATCACATGGCACTAACACTGGTACTGTCCATCAACTGGCACTATATCTGGTACTGGCCATCTGGCACTAAACACCTGGTACGTCAGCACTGCTCACTTACATTTGTATCTGTTCCATCACTGTCACTAACATCGTGGTACTGTCCTTCCAATGTCAACTAACACCTGGTACTGTCCAACACTGGCATAACACCTGGTAAAGTCCATCACTGTCACTATCACCTTGGTTCTGTCCATCAGTCAACTAACATTGGTTACTGTCCATCACTGTCGCTAATAACCTGGACTGTGTCACATCACTGGCACTAAACACATGGTTATATCCTTCTACTGGCATGAACATATGGTACTGTCTGCTATCACTAACACAATGGTACTGTCCATCACTGAGCTCTAACACTGGTGCCTGTACATCACTGAGCGCTAACACCTGGCACGTGTATCACTGCACTACCACCTGGCATGTCCATCATGGCACTAACACCTGGTACTTGTCATCTACTGTCACTAACACTGGTTATCTGTCCATTCACTGTCACTAACACTTTGTAACTGTTTCATCACTGGCACTACATCTGGTACTGTACCAACATGGCACTAACAACTGGTAACTGTCCATCACTGTCTCTTATCACTTGGTATGTCCATCACTGTCACTCACACCTGGGTACTGTCCATCACTGTCGCTTAAAAACCTGGTATGTCCATCACTGGCACTATCACCTGGTTCTATCCATTCCACTGGCACCAACATCTGGTACTGTCTGCGCTGTCACTAATCACATGGTACTGTCATCACTGTCACGTACACCTGGTACTGTCCATCACTGGCACTAACACCTGGTACTGTTACTCTACTGGCGCTAAACCTGGCATGGTATCCACTGGCACTAAACACCTGGCACTGCCATCACTGCGCTCAACACCTGGTACTTTTCTCTGGGTGTGGTCATATGTGGTGTTCGGTATTCTTGGTTTTCACGGGCACCTTTCACCCAGGCATTCTCTGCCTTCGTACTGTATTTTATCATCGGCCTGATGGAAACACTATTAGTGTGCGAGAAGCTCCTTCTACAGGTGCTTGCAGCACCCTCTTCAGTGCCTAGGCTGCATCCTCAAGAGTGCTTGCTGCCCACTCTACAGTGATAGGTACCTGTTAGAGGGGGCTTGGTGGTAGAACTCTGTAAGTGGGAAGGGGCTGCTAGCATCTTGTAGGGGATGCTGCTTTAGCACTGTAGAGGGGGTGCGAGCACTCTTTAGGATGCTTGTAAGCACTGTAGAGGGGGGGCTGCTAGCATTTGTAGCGTGTATCAAACAATCCCCAATCTCTTTTTAACACCATTCCCATAATCACCCACATTCCCCCCTCCAACCCCCTCTCCAAATCTCCATAACCAAACCACCCCACACCACCCCCACCACTCCCCAACCCCCCCCCCAACACCACCCCCATCCCACCCCCCCCCCCCCCCCCCCCCCCCCCCCCCCCCCCACCCCCCACCCCCCCCCCCCCCCCCCCCACCCCCCCCCACCACCCCCAATACAAAAGCAGCCCTTCCTCACCTCATGAGTGCTAGCAGCCCCCTCCTACAGTGTAGCAACAGCCCACTCTACCAGTGCTAGCCAGTCCATCCCTCAAGAGTGCCAGAGCACCCTCTAGAGTGCTGCATTAAAGGCATCTGTCGATTTTCTCGGTTTCCTTCGTTCCTTGTTTTTGCACTCTTCTGTTCAAGACTCTACCTTCCTCAAATTTATTGCTTGTATGGGATTATTGTTCATCCTGCTGTTCAAGCAAGTGTTTGGTATTTGCTCTTTGGAATTGTTGTCAGTTATACTTCTAAGTCGGTCTATACCGATCAACAAACTCACGCTTACACACATTAACCTATGTGCTTTTTGAGTACTTCTACTACAGTAATGTTCTAATGCGGTACGAGGTTCTTCACAGTATTATAAGGTTCACT